GGTTTGGTTTGTCTGAGGTCACATAATTATCAAGTGGGAGTCCTTTGATAACACTGTGCTACAGGGATCTTCCTATTCTGTCACATCACTGTCGGCTCCGCCATTTTAAAGATAAGCAGAATAAAACTCAAAAGGTCACATGGTTTGTCTGAGGTCACATAATTATCAAGTGGGAGTCCTTTGATAACACTGTGCTACAGGGATCTTCCTATTCTGTCACATTTCCTCACTGTCGGCATGATAGAAACTTTACTTACTTTTCCATTTAATTTTTACAGTAACCTGCATACCAGTCAATCCATTGATGTAAGTAGTGGTATTTTCATGTGTTGATGAGAAAATTGAGCCTCAGGAGGGTTATTGTAATATGTGGCAGCAGGATGTTAACTCATGCCTTTTCTCATCATTCTGAGCTGGGCTCCTTGCCTACTTACGGCTATGTGGCTCTCACAGGTCATTTTAGAGATTTACCTTCTTAGGACTGTTAATCATGAGGGCTAAAGGTTAGTTTAAATTCTCTTTGTTTAGAATATGTCATCTGAGTTTTCTGATTTACTGAACTTTTAATTTGCACTGCTTGTGAAAATTTTGCAAAAAGAGGTTTATTTAGTAATTTTGTTTATTTTAGACAGTATTTGGCAGTTGTATTCAAAGATAAACCTCTGGAGTTATGGGATGTTAGGACCTGTACCATTCTTAGAGAAATGTCCAAAAACTTCCCTGCAATAACTGCTTTGGTAAGTTACAATTTAAGAAGTAAACAGTTTATTTAGGTATGTATATATGTGATGAATATTTTTCTTTAGCTTAAATTGAAATCATTACTCCTGTGTATTTTCTTGTCAAAAATGTGTGTTCAGAGAAGATGATCTAAACAAATGGAGACAACTCTTATTTTCTTGGATGGGTTAAAAGCCAATATTATATTAAATTCCAATTAAAATTTAATTTAGATATTTTGAGGAACATGATAAACATATTCTAAAATATTTATGGAAAAATAAAGGTCATAGTCAACCTTGAAAAAAGAGGAGTAATGTAGGCAGTATGGGTGGGGGTCGGACCCATCCTACCCCATACAGTACATATTATTAAACCGTAGAAATAAAAGCAATGTCATATTGGCCCAAGAAAGAGAAATGGATCAGTATAATAAAGAGCTCATTAACAGACCCATGAATGTTTGGGAACTGAATGTACAGTAAAGTAGCTCACAAACCCAAGAGGAGGGACAGACTGTTTAGTAGACAGTATTGGGGAAACTGTCTCACTTTATGGAGAAAAATACTGGATCTCTGCATAATACCATATTCAGAGGTGGGCTCCACAGGATTAATGACCTAAATGTAAAAAAAAGTAAAGCTATAAAATTAATACAAATACGGAAGAATATCTTTCTATTCTGGGGCAAAAGAGGATATCTGAAGCTCAAACCAAAAGGCAAAAAAATTGAATGAATTTGATTATATCAAGATTGGTGCTTTCTATTCAATGAATCAGACCATTGTCAAGGTTAAATATAGAAGACAAGTTGAAAAAAGAAATTTTCCAGTGTCTAAGATGGACAAAGGGTTACTAATCTCTCTAAGGGATTAGTATTGTGGGAACTCCTGCAATGAAGCGACAGGAGCCCCAGTGGAAGGACGAACAAGCATGTGAACAGTTAATGAATGGCAGGGAAGCCTAAAAGGCCAACAAGCATGTGAAGAAATGTTCAAACTCATAGGTTTTGAGATGTGCAAAGTAAAATAACCATGATATACCTTTTAGACTAACAAAAAGTGGAAAGCCAGGTAGCATCCCATGTGGGTGTAATATGGGCTATAGGAATTCCTTGGCACTGCTGATAGGTATCTAGACCAGTGAAGCCATTCTGCAGAGCAAACTGGCAGCGCTTAGGCAAACACAGACATCCTCTGTGTTCCAGCTGATCAGCTTCTGGTCATACAGGAACTTTTGTGAGGATATTGACTGCAGTGTAATTTGCCGTGAGGAGAGTATAGAGACAATCTGGGTGTCTTTTGCTGGGAAACTAAACTAAACTAAAAACTAGGCTAAAAATTGGCAGCTGTACCTATGGAGTGTTATATAACATGCAGAAACAATAGAGGTGGGACTTGAATACATTGCACTGAGTAAAAAGAGTTAGAAATAGGATGAGATATATAACACACTACTGTTAATGCAGATCACAAATATGTGCATGTAAAATAACTACATGTTAAGAATTTATACATATGAGGATATTAAATTAAATGCATTAGAATAAGCAGGAATAAATAAATAAAAGGAGAGGTTGGGGGTGGACCTACAGATGATAATGGGCCATGATTGGAGGAGTGTGATCATCTCACCTTGTGTACCTAAGGGGGAGGTGGGGAGGTAAGGAGTGGGAGATACCATAATTAAAGGTATTATTTTCATTCTGTAAAAAATGAAAGCATCAAAAGTTTAAAACCTGTTGGAGTTGGCCATTAAGGTCTTTTCCCTTAAGCTATAATTGAAGATTAGAGGTAGAAGGAAATAGAGGTAGATCATTAAAATATTCTACCATAAGCTGTAATGAAGATGCATGCATTCAACCTTTTTGAAAAAAGTAAAACCTAAGAACAAATTGTGAATTCATGTGTAGTAATAATAAGTGACGCTGGGCAATGGCGGGTATGCCCAGCTCTTCTGGAAGCGTTCTTTGACAGAGAAACTGATCACTTGCGGGCATGTCTGTCTTTGCTTCACAGGAGTGGTCACCTTCTCACAACTTGAAGAGCTTAAGAAAGAAACAGCTGGCTACCCGAGAGGCCATGGCCCGCCAGACCGTGGTCTCAGATACAGAGCTGAGTGTTGTTGAGTCATCTGTGATCAGGTACCCTGTTTCCGCCCGTCATTTGTAATAGCCAAGTCATGGTTGGGAAATTGACAAGTGTCATCCCAAGGCACCTCTAGTCTGCTTTTGAACATACGTTGGTGTTTCAGTACATGCTCATATTACTATAGAGTTAGTTTTAGTATTGCATTGCTTGGTGCAGTTTGCAGCAGTAACCTGTGCAGTAACATCTACACATCAGCACCCGTTAGTGAATATGATCATTCTCAGTGCCCTTCTGCTCCATAAACTTCAGCTTCTGAAATTCAAATGAATGTAGCATGAATATCCAGATGGGTCATATTGTCATTTATGTTCACCAAAGGAAATGTATTAGGGATTCTAACTTAGGTACCACCCCGCCCCCATCCCCACTAAATTTACAAATAAAAAACTTCAGAGAGAATGATGAGTCAAGGTAAGGCCTCTGTTCTGCAGCAGAAACAGCAAAAAGGCTTTTTTTCTTGTGTGAGGTCTAGATCACCACATTCTTCTGTGCAGGTTAAACGTTCACTCGTGGCATTTGGAGTGATTTGTGTTTTCCTGTTATTACTAGGCAAAGATTAGTTTCATCCTTTCTTTTTTTTTTGAATGGTTTTGACCCCCTGTTAATGCATCTGTATTTGGGGTGAGTTAATTAATTATGTCACTTGAGGGAAAAGAAATATCTTTATCTTATTTTCCTCTATCCCAAAGCTTGTTGCAGGAGGCTGAGAGTAAATCTGAACTCAGTCAGAACATCTCTGCCCGGGAGCATTTTGTGTTTACCGATAATGATGGCCAAGTTTATCATCTCACTGTTGAAGGAAACTCAGTGAAAGATAGCGCTCGGATTCCACCAGACGTGAGTCCAACCTGTGATTAAATCTTCATTAAGATTTCTTATTAAAGTCCTTATTGGTTCTATATCCAGTGAAGCCATAGTTGAGTTTGAAAACTATCTCAGAAAAGTGTAATGTAAATAAACTTTACTAAGGAGCTATTATCACTGATTAAACTTGTTCCATACTGCTAGAGAATAGCATTATAACTGTTTTGATTAAATACTTAACCGTGTGTTACTCATTTTTATCACTGTAATAATCCATGAGGAATTATTTACATTTTATCTATGACAAGACTGAGGGAGAGTGAGTAACTTTCCCCAGGTTGCCCAGCCTAGTGACATGGCAGAGCAGCATTTTAAAGCCAGGTCGGTCTGTCTGACTCTAGTTTCTCTTCTTTCCATTTCAAGCATTACCCTGAAGGATTTGACTAAAATCTAGTATTATTTTTGGGTAATAGTAATCAGGTTGTAGGTATAAAAATATTTATTAATATTTACTAACATATATATCCTCCTGTGGGCTTGTGGAGTTCTCTAACCAAGGTTTTGTAGTTAATTGTGTCAATGTGTATCTCACAGGTTGTTTTTAATGGATGGATGAAGAAAATGTTTTTGTTAACGAATAATACTATAACCGTTAACTGGAGGATGAGATGGTTTTTTAAATATATATATATATATTGATTTAAAGTTGCCATCTAAAAATGGAATGCCAACCCTCGTATTTTACAGATGGTTCAGAGTCTTACGAGGTTGCAGTGAGGATGTTGGCTGGGGTAGGGGATCCCCTTCCCACATGGCTCACTCACATGGCTATTAATGCTGGCCATGATGAGAGGCCTTGGTTCTTCCTCACATGAACCTCTCCATAGGGCTGCCTAAGTGTCCTCAGACATGGCAGCTAGCTTCCTGCAGAGCGAGTGATCAAAGAGAGAGCAAAAGAAAGCTGCAATGTCTTTTAGGACCTCGTTTTCAGAAGTCATATTTTCACAGTATGCTGTTGGGTCACTGTTCGTTGTGAGAGGTGACTACCAAAGGATGTGAATACCAAAGGCAGAATCAGGTAGGGGGGTGGGCCTCTTAGGGGCTGGCTACCACATCTTCCTTATTAACAGCTTTAGAAGAATTGAGGGCATCCAAATAACCTTCATTGATAAAAACTGAAACTAGCATGTGAAAGTGCTTTTCAAACTGTAATTACATTTTTACTGTTATATGGAACAAGTCATATCGGAGACTTAGTAGTGTCTATTTTAAACTCTCTAATATTGCCAAAAGTTTTCACTAGTGTGAAAATAATGCAATTGTGAAAAATTAATATTTGGTATTTATAGGTAGGAGCAGTAACTTTTAAGTGTGTAGCAAGAAAAGCTATGGTTAAAGGGTGTGGGCATAAGAGTTGCAGTGTAATGAGCTGTCCTCTGGAAAGTCAGTTTGCTTTCTTAGTAATATTCAGAGCTCCTCTAGACTCCAGAGAAGGACCCATCTGAACTCCGATAGTGGCACTTGCAAATAGCTCAGTCTCTTTGTTTTCTAATCATGTCACATTTGAGATTAGAATAGAAATAATCCAATAATTTTTGAGATTCTAGTTCCCCCCCACCCTAAAAAAAAGTTAGAAATTTTTGAACATTAGACACATGAATTTTTCTCTTAGTAACTGCTTCTTTCAGGATTATTGCACCACACAGCTTTTAAGATTCTACACTGTTTTATGGAGATCTGAAGTCGGGATATAGCAAGTCTCTATTCTGCCTGCCAGATCATTTTATTCCACAGCTAGAAGGAGCTTCCTCAAGGAATGACCATCCTAAGCATCTACTATATAAAACATGAGAAATTGGTTTTGGTTCATTATTTTTATTTGCAGTAATCAAAATATTTTTCAATGACTAATAAATATGTAGAATTTAGGCAGAGGTTTTGTTTATTTATTTATTTATTTATTTTTTTGCGGTACGCGGGCCTCTCACTGTTGTGGCCTCTCCCGTTGCGGAGCACAGGCTCCGGACGTGCAGGCTCAGCAGCCATGGCTCACGGGCCCAGCCGCTCTGCGGCATGTGGGGTCTTCCCGGACCGGGGCACGAACCCGTGTCCCCTGCATCAGCAGGCAGACTCTCAACCACTGCACCACCAGGGAAGCCCTGTTTGTTTATTTTAATCCAATATTTATCTTACCCTCCTCCCAAATGTAAAGTGTTAAACGTTTGTTTTGAGTTGAAACTTCCCCTGAGTTTTGGCCCCAGAACTAACAGTATATAAAAATGGAAAAGAAGCAGAAAGCTTGACATATTTTAAATTATGTTCTCATGGAGAGTTTATAGTTGACTGACTGCCTTTATTCAGAAAACCAGAATAGCAGGAGAGAATGAATATCTTTGCTTTGCTGCCAGCCTTACTTCTGATCTTTTGAACATCATATTTTACATGTAGGCAACATATCAATGTCAACTAATAATACTCTATCATAGAGTTTTAAATCTTACACTGGTTCTCTTGGGATTATTTGGAGCCACAAAGCGAGTTTGTGCCACATCCTCTGAAAGCACCTTAGACTTTCCATATGGCTTATATCCCATCAATAAGCTCTTAGGTAGAAAGGTCTGAGTTGTTTAATTGTGCAGTTGTATTAATACATCGCTTGTAATTCTAAGCTGGTAACACTGATTTCTGGGCAAATTTAAACTTTAATATTCTAATTTTTAGAAGTTAAAAACTAAGATTATAAAATGTAAACAAAAAATTTAAGACTGAAAAAGTAAATTTAAAGGCAAATTCTTAAACATTCTCTTAATATGGTCAGGAGAATAGAAATAAGATCTTTATACTATACAGAACTCTATTTAACATAGCTTTCTGAGTTTTTTATTAATTGAATTCATTAAAATACTCAATCCAATTTTTTCTTTTGTTTCTTGACTAACACTATGATTTATGCAGTATTTGGTGTGTGTGCAAGTCTACTAATAGCCAATTTGGCAAACCCTTGGAACTTTCCTACTTCTTACTATCGATGCCATGAGAACTAAACACGTGAATTTTTACATTGTTCTATAAATTAAGAAACAAGGTTTCTTTTAATATAAGTAGAGAGTAAGTAGAAAAGTAATTGAGCAATAATATTATTTAATAGCTAACATGTATTGACTGTTTACTCTGTGGCAGGCATTGTCATAAAGCCTTTACCTGTAGAAATTTATTAACACTAATAGGAACTCCTCAAGTTCTGTGAGCTTACCATGCTTTATTGATGATAAATTCTAGACACAGAAAGATTAGTAAACATGCCCCAAATCACACAGCAAATTAAATGATAAAGCTTGGATTCAAGCCCAGGCAGCTGACCCCGGAGCCCAGGCTTCTCGGCTCTCCATCACATGACCTCTGTGCAGAAGCTCCTTTCTCCCCACTTGGATTTATTACAGTAGTGTTTCATTCTTATATTTGTGTTTCCCTATGTAACTTCTCTGCAGAGCCTTCTGTGAATTCAAATTGTGCAGATGTCTTTAATACCCAGTATCTCTTTACCTTCCTTATTCCAGAAGGTATCAGTGAAGCTCTGGATCCCCTTTTTCTTTCTTTTTTTAAATTGAAATATAGTTGTCATACAGTATTATGTTAGTTTCAGGTGTACTACATAGTGATGGATCCTCTCTTTCAGTAGAAAAATTGCTGAACAATTAGCTGTGAAACAGCTTTAGGGCTTCCCTGGTGGCGCAGTGGTTGAGAGTCCGCCTGCCGATGCAGGGGACACGGGTTCATGCCCTGGTCCGGGAAGATCCCACATGCTGCGGAGCGGCTGGGCCCGTGAGCCATGGCCGCTGAGCCTGCGCGTCCGGAGCCTGTGCTCCGCAACGGGAGACGCCGCAACAGGGAGAGGCCCGCGTACCGCAAAAAAAAAAAAAAAAAAAAAAAAAAAAAAAAAAAAAAAACAGCTTTAAGTTTCCCCCAGAATAGATTTATTTATCTTTGCAGTGAGGGATAACCTGGAGACAGGAGCTCTCTTGAAAGGGTGTGCTTTCCTTCTCATTTTTTCTTCTTTTAATTTTCTTTTCTCTGAAGTAGTTCTTCATCAAAAGATATCCCTTTTCTATCAATTTAGTTCAGATAACAATGTCTATCTAACTGAAATCTCCTGGTTCTTCTCAGTTGAAATCGAAATGCTAGGTAGCTCTCGTAGTGTCTGAACTCTGTTAGTGTTTGATGACGTTCTTACTAAAGCAAAACCATTTTTAATTAGGTTTTATTAAAATATCTTTTTTATTTTTTCACAGTTATTAAATAAAAATATTTCTCTGTTATGACTGCTTATAAATGGTGAACGTGATGTGTACTTGTTGCTGTTGTTTTCTAGGGAAGTATGGGTAGTATTACTTGCATCGCTTGGAAAGGTGATACATTAGTTCTTGGAGATGTGGATGGAAATTTAAATTTTTGGGATTTGAAAGGCAGAGTATCCAGGTATGAGTCAAAAATGCAATTGTGTTATTTGGTTTAAAAAAAAAAATCTCTCGGTATGGTTCCATTGGAGGCTTGTGACTTGGTAATAAGCAGGGTCACCAAATATGGTCATGTGGAGCTTGGACCCTTGGGTCTCTTGTCACTGAACTTGGGAGGAAGGGCCTTGAGCCAAACTCTGGAACATTCACAGAAGACCCTTATCTGCAGGTGGCTCATGCAGAAGTCCTGGGACACTATTCAGCCATTGTTAAAGAGCAGACACTTTCTGTTATACGTGGCCCCTGTCCCAGAAAGCAGAGATTCTCCTGTCACATCACTAGACCTTGTCAAAAGCAGAAATAGAAAGAGACATTGGACATATCTCTTGATGATGAGATACTACTCTGCTTCATATTGGTGTTTTGGTTTTTGTTTGTTTGTCCTCAGAGGAATACCTACACACCGAAGTTGGGTGAGGAAGATTCGTTTTGCCCCTGGTAAAGGAAACCAAAAATTAATAGCAATGTACAATGATGGAGCTGAAGTATGGGATACTAAAGAGGTAGGCCCAGCTCCACGTGGGTGCACTGCAAATGAAGCTGCTGGCCACAGGAACTATGTATTTTTTTCTTCCTTCTGATTTAGAAATGAAAACTATGTAATGGGTTTGTCAAGCTTATTAAAAGTTTTCTTCCTTTAAAATTTTTCTTTCACAGTATTTCTGTTTTAAAGGTGATAGCTCAACAGATTTTTAATGTTATCACTATCTTTGGGACCTTTAAAATGCAGTCTGCATGTGGAAGGTAGACTGCCAAAGACTGTTCAGTTTTGAACGTAAACTGGACCTTTGCCACAGGCTCTGTCTTTCCTTGACTGTTTAATCCGGAATGATAAACATCTTCCTTTTCTTTGTGCAAGTGACAATCAAATTCACTCTTGAAGGTTCAGATGGTGAGCAGTTTAAGAAGTGGAAGAAATGTAACCTTTCGGATACTGGACGTGGACTGGTGTACATCAGATAAAGTGATCCTGGCTTCAGATGATGGGTGTATCAGGGTCCTGGAGATGTCCATGAAGTCCACCTGTTTTAGGATGGATGAACAGGAGTTAACTGGTATGGAATTCTAGGGAAAGGATGCTTGGAAACCTGTCTTTATTTTGCTCCGGCTGCTCTCTTCAGGGGAGAGAGATGCTTCTGTTTCATCTCAGTCTTGCTTTCTAGGAATCTGAGTTTAAGAAAATATTATATATTAACTTAAAGCTTGAGTGTTTTTATTGCTGAGATGCTAGACTCTTTGTAACTGCAGACGTCAATCATTCCCTGACTCTGGTTTACCAAGCGCCCCTTCCTTGACCCTTTTCTGAGTGCTCTGTCAAAAGATCAAAGATGTTTACATTTATAAAAATGGCTTCCGCAGACTTTAGGAGAACTCATTAGAGGACATAAATCTAGTGATAAGGTGCTGCTGGCTTTTTAATAGTGAGCCTTATATCTTTCTCAACCATGCATCATGGAGAGATCACTTTGGAAAGTGTTCTGAGTATCATGAATTTTGATGCCCATCTTATGACTTGTTAAAGGGTCAGTCAAAACAAAATTAGATGATTGCACTACCTTACCCTTTTTTGTATGGTTTTGTATGGTTTATGCTTCGAGATTTTTTTTCCAGAATGAAAAATATTTTAGCAAAAATAACTGTGACTGTAAAAGAAGGATGAGAAGTTTGTGAATGCACCCATCAATCTACTTGAAAATCAGACTTCCTTCATGAAGTTTTCTCCAAGCATATATTTGGTGTACACTCTAAGCTATCTGATCTGTAAAAAAATTTCATTAGAGAATTGTTTAGTCATTTATTGAGTTTCATCTTAGAAACTGTCAGCTCTGGGAATTGTCTGTACCTTTGTAGAGTCAATCTTCGGCACATTCAGAGGCAATAGTGTTTTGAAAACCTGCCCCTTCATGTTATGTTTGTGCTTGAGGCACTACCAAGTTGTTGTTTATGTTGGCTGGGCTACCTTACGTTAGGTGTGCTTTTGTTTTTGTCACTGTCCCACCCTGCCACTGTATTTGGGAACCACCACTTCTTATTCTGTAACCGTGTCTGCCATCTGCTGAGGCAGAAATTGAGCATTGCATTCCCATATCTGTCCTTGAGACACCTGCCAGCTCTGCGTAAGTAACAGGACTTCCTCATAGGGAAGGACAAGCATAGATACTATTTTAAACATAAAGTTATTAAGGAAATGGAGGGAATTTCAAGGATGATTTTTCTTTTAGTTACTAATTCTAGGTAAAGAAGTGTGCAAATGTAATCTAAATGTTTGAGAAGCTTTTCTTTGACCTTTAACTTAAAATTTGTATCTAAAAATCTCCATAGCCAGGGTACTTAATTTTACTTATTTTTAAACTGACTACAGAATTAGAGCCCATCATTAGCACATGTTTAATACCATACACGAACGGCTGACCTGCAGCCAGATTTTAGATTACATTTTTCTTTTAAAGTTTTCCTAATACTAAAAAAAAAAAAAAAAAATATTCCTATTCAATCTCTGTTGGTGTGACCTCAGCCAGAAAGGGAAAATTTTTTAAATAATAATGGGGAAAGGTCAATAAAATTGTGCATATTTCCACATATTGAACTTTAAACTCAGAACAACACTCAATAAATGTTAAAGAATAAAAACTGGTGAGAGTGTAAATACGGAGTTAGGAAAAGGATGTCTGTGTTTGCTGCCAGATATGTGCTGATTTGAGCTTGGAAAAATATCAGTCTGTTTGATATAATATATTCCTATTCTGAGGAATTAGAAATGTATTTTGGACTTACTGATGTCGGATAAAAATAAAATCCTTTGAGGTCATGTGCAGTGATATAATATTTAATATATTTTCTTCAGTTCTCCTTGATGACAAGTAGAAAAATCATAATATATTGATTCAAATACGTTTTCTTAGAATAGCTTAGATAGTCTTCTTCTTCCACCTGGCCTTTATTTACATTTGTCTGATCCCTCCCCCCTGCCCCCCATAAAGGGGGAGGTCAGACATGTAGAAAATTGGAATCCCTGTTTTTGAGTTGGAGAATCCTTCTTGCCCATACTGCCTATTATCAGGGGCATAAAATGGCATAAAACAATCTTAATATTCTTTTTAGCAGCATCTCAAAGGAATTCAAGAGTATGAGACTTTAATAACATTTAGTATGATGCTGTTTCCAAGCACTTTAAATAGTATCACTATGGTGTCAGAGACTCTTCAATCTCACTTTCTCCCCAACTCTTAGCCCCTGTGTTGTAAGTAGTGATTACATTGAATATACTCTCTGAGTTGCCACCAGACTTACACACCATTCTCTGCTGACTTCTCTGTAAACTGTCTATAGCTGAAGCTTTATAGTAATTTTAAAGTAAAGTAATTTAAAGTAATTTAATTTTACTTATTAAAAGCAAAAACTGTTTTCTTGTCTAGAACCCGTGTGGTGCCCATATCTCCTTGTTCCAAGGGCCGCCCTCGCCTTGAAAGCTTTCTTATTACATCAGCCTTGGAATGGACAGTATTCTTTAGACATTTCTTATGTGTAAGTTTTTTTGCATTTTTGTTTTCCTTTCCTAATTGATTTAAGATTGAAGGACACCCATGAAAATCAGCAGTGACCTGTCTCCAGGGCCTATAGGGATTGGAACCTTAAAACCGAGCTGAGGCAGTAATGGCAGACACACTAAAAGAATCACTGATCTGCCTCTTGTCTTCACCCCTCTGGGGACTTTGGGGAAGCGTGAGCCTGTGGACAGCTGTGAGTACACGTGCTGCTCTCAGGTGGCTTTGTGGTAGTCTTACTGTCTGAACATGGGGCATGGCATACTGAGTGTGAAGAGGGCCAGTTGAGGCCAAGAGGAATTTAGGGACAAGATTCTTTTTAGAAGCAGCATAAAGGGGCCTACTTCAGAGGTATTTTATGTTTTATAGTCTGCCTCATTGCAAAATAATGTTCACATTATTAGTGGTTATTAGTTAAACTACCACAGGTGTTACAGGACTTATGCCATGTGGAATGCACAGATAAGCCTGGGTCAGGGGAATTAAAAAGATAATAATATGATGAGGTGTCTTTTCTCCAAGAAGTATCTACTTAAAGAAATGAATGGTCATTTTGCAGAGCAGAACAAGCAGATTCCTTTAGTCATTGCTAAGTTCCTTATTAACATGAATCTAAATCTGATAGTTTTTAGAGCTCACTGATAAATTTTCTGGTTTCTTGAAAGCCAAGGAGACTTTCTGTACTCATTTCTTGGTTTTGACTAAATAACATAAAAGCAGACATTAAAGATGATTGGTAGGTTCCTGAGTAGACTGTTGCTCTTTTGGTCTACAACCAGGTTTTTAACCAAGGACTACAAAGAAGTTATTTCTATATTAATACAGCTTTTTTTCTGGTGAAGAAATAAATCGTTGTAAGTGAAGAGAAAATGAACTCATTTAAAATCTTTTCTTGGTACAGTGATTATCCAGAAAATGAAGAAATAAAGAATCTCCTTCAAGAGCAGTTGAACTCATTGTCTAAGTAAGCACTCTAACTATGTTTTATTAGAAGATAAGAATATGAAAAAGAAAAACATAATGATTTAGGCTTTTTAAAATTAAAATAAGCTTTGTTTTAGAAAATATTTAGTGGCCCACGGAGAGACCATTCTGTTCACAGACGTGTGTTTCCCTTTAGAATCTTTGTCTTGTGGAAGTAAGGTTCAGATTGCTGTGCAGTGGACATCTTATAGCTCAGCCTGCCTCCAGCACAAGTCCCCTGCGAAGCCTCGTGTTAGAGTGTGTACACAGGGCGATTCTTGTGTGTCCACTTCCCTCTCCTAAAGTGAGCTCTCTGTGTCAGGAGCTGTGTGTGCACTCTTCTGGCTAAGAAATTAATATGCTCCCTAGAGCCAAGAGCATTTAAAAATATGTACTGGGAATAATATTGGAAAGGAAGTAGAAAAATGTGGGTCCACAAGGAGTTCTTGGTAAAACATAACATGTTTTTGCAATCTAGACTCTGCCACAAGTATTTTAATACTTAATAAATTAACGATAATAGAATATTTTATTGATGTCAAATTCGAAATAATTTATTGTTTTCTCTCTTCCAAGGTTAGCCTTTACGTTTAAACGGAAAAGAATAGATTTAAAGACAATCTTTCCTTCTTCCTGATTTATAAATATTCTATATTTGGCTATTTTAGAAATAGCAATTTATAAAAACGCTAGCCTTTCTTCCTTAAATATTTTAATTTTTGAATACGTTCAAAAATAAATTCTGAATGCATCGTCTCTAAAGTATGTACTGTTCCTGATGATTATCAGCAAAATCGTTTTATCAACAATGACATTCTTGTTCCTATAGTTAGACACAGCTGTTCATACTTTTAAAAACATGAGTTGAGCTGCTTCAAGAAGCAAGAAGGTAAATCACAGTTAGAGCCTTAAGCTGTGGTGGTTGATGGCTACTGCTTCTCCAAACCTAGATACACTCTAAGCCCTGGAAGCTTTTGCAATTTCAGGGTCACAGCAAAGTGACTTCTTCTGTAAGTTCTAAACATACCCTTTGGGTAGGATTTTTCATTTTAAGAGTATACTGATTTATCTCCTTTATTGTTGGATTCAAAAATGTTGTCTTGCCTTTGTCTGGATTCCTGTCTGCAGTGACATAAAGAAACTCTTGCTCGATCCGGAATTTACCCTCTTGCAGAGATGCCTGCTTGTTTCAAGGTAACTCTGTTTGAAATGTTTTGTGTAAGACACAGGGAATTTCAGGTTAACTCATTTCTTTTATTAAGGTTGTTAGTTAAGACCAAACTCTTTCGGATTTTAGAAAATATATCAGTTCATCCTTTATAGTTGGCTTACAATTAATTTTGAAAGTAGTACTACAAATAGGAGAAAAAAAAAAAAACCCCACATTTTAAACATGAGATCTAGGCCTTCTCTATTGAAAAGACTCCCTCCTACAGACAGCTTTTTAAAATATCAGCTACAAAGTGAATAAATATACCTATATATATTGGTATACCAATATTGGTATTAAATATACCAATAAATTATATTTAGAAGTAATAACCTATACATTCTTACTGTACAGTAGAGTTGCCCCTTATAAAAAAAGACATTTCCCTCCATCCCCAGAGAATAAATAGCATATTATTTCCACACCTTATCTGGTCAGTAATTCCAGAGGAACTTCTTCCCTAGTTGGTCCAGATTGAAAGGTGTGCTAATGGCAAACCAGGTAAATCATGGCCCAGGCTTCAGAACCATGGTGTTCCTCTTAACACAGAACAAAGGGGGATTTGCGTCTGAAGGGGCCTCATGCAGTCAGAGCCCTGTGCTGTTCGAGACCCAGTAACAGGGCTGGAGGACTTGCAGCTTCACCTCTTCCACCCAGCCCGGCACGTGGTCTTTCACACGCCAGCACCATGCTCCCAGCACTTGAAGCTACTGTGGGAAGCCCCCATCCAGGCCCCACTCTGCTGTGTGAGTTCAGTGGAAACTTTGGTTTCACCCTTGCCAGGCTGTACGGCGATGAATCGGAGCTGCACTTCTGGACTGTCGCTGCCCACTACCTGCACAGCTTGTCCCAGGAGAAGGCAGCAAGCACACCAGCTGCTAAAGAAACTGCTCCTTGGGACAAAGTGAACAACCCACTAGATATATGTTATGATGTGCTCTGTGAAAATGCCTATTTTCAGGTATTATGTTTCATATATTAAAAACCTTTAAAGGGCTTCCCTGGTGGCACAGTGGTTGAGAGTCCACCTGCTGACAGGGGACAT